TCCTGCGCTACATTGCCCGCAAGCACAACCTGTGTGAGTGTGGTTTGTTGCAGTGTGTTGGGGGAAGGTGGCCTCCTCCTTGGCAGGATTGGGGTGCGATGCTCAGAGTGAGTCTATGTTTTGTGGGTGGCAGGTGGGGAGACAGAAAAGGAGAAGATTCGTGTGCACATTTTGGAGAACCAGACCATGGACAACCATATGCAGCTGGCCATGATCTGCCACAACCCAGAATTTGCGAGTCTCCCCAGTGATCTGCACCTGGCAGAGTTTGGATTTGGGGCCAGGACTCTTGCATTCCTGCACACACTGGTGTTTTCTTAAGTCCTTGGTACCACTCATCCTCCAAGTGCTTTCCCGTACTATCAACAGTTATTCTCACAACTCCAATGTCACGTCAACAAAAGCAGAGGCAATTCCCACCAATCTTAGGACACGATCCAGGCATCCCAGGGTAGAAATTCAATTCCTAGATGGTAAAGTTCATGTTCAGAATCTCCTTCATCGCCTCTGGCCTCTGACTTCTGTCCTGGGTCATTTCTCTCAGCCAGTTCACATCACCTGTCTGCTCCTAGAATATACAGACTCAAGTACAAGACAGAGGAATGTAATGGCACCGTTGAATTGCATCTTCTCCTCCACAGTTTTCCAAGTGCTGTCATTGACATGCATAGGGATCCACGCATTTTCATAACAGGCAGCTCAGAGGCAGCCAGCGGGCCTTTATTCCTCTCCCTCCTTCCTTTCAACCTGAACTTCTCATCTCCCTGGAAACTGGTCAATGTCCATGTTTTCTCTTGCCACCCCATTAGGAGGAACTTTCTACTTCTTTCCCTGAGCTCCTGTAGTTCTTTGCATCCTTGATTCTGCCCATGTCTGGGTCCAAAGGCTGCCAGGTGCTCGGGCACCACTGGGGCTGACCCAGAGGTTATTGGGAGGTCAGTGATGACAGATTCAGGGACGGCATCTCATTCCTCTCTGCCTTCTGATCACTTCAGATAGGGTCTGGCACCCAGTCAGAGTCTAATAATTGCTGATGTATCCAATTGAAGCCTGGGCACTGCCCCAGTTTTAGTTGCGGGGAAGATGGCTGCTTGCCCGTGGCCAGCCTGGGCCATCCACAGCCCTGGGGAGGCCATGTCTATGCAGGGAGCTTTTGTCTGAGGGTGGTGACAGCTGTTTCCTGTCTCAGGAGAAACTGAAGCCAAAATACTTGGAGGAACTCCCTGAAAAGCTAAAGCTCTACTCACAGTTTCTGGGGAAGCGGCCATGGTTTGCAGGAGACACGGTAAAGGAGGAGTGATATAGGGAATGAGATCTGTTTTGCTCCATGTGTTATGGAGGTTCCAGCCCACATATTCTTGGCCTTGTGCAGATCACTTTTGTAGATTTTCTCGTCTATGATGTCCTTGACCTGCACCATACATTTGAGCCCAAGTGCTTGGATGCCTTCCCAAATCTGAAGGACTTCATCTCCCGCTTTGAGGTGATGCCCCCATCCTCCTTTCTCTTTGATGCCCCTTGTTCCTTTCCCTCCTTTGAGATGCTTTCCCAGTCCTGGAGCTACACATAGAATAACTTGCATTTATTGAGCATTGGCTTCATGCCACGAACCGTGCCCAGCACATTATACCTATTGTGTGGAATTTGAATTTTATAACATTCCAACAGGGTGATAGAATTATCTCACCCATTTTGGAGATAAGGAAACTGAGAATGAGATGGTCAGGCATTGCTCAGGGTCCCAGAGCTGGTGGAGGCTGTGCTGGGCTCCCTATGAGCCTCTGGATCTATGGGTGGCAGTCAGGGCTCTCCTGTATGTGACCAGAGAAAAAGCCTTAGGCTTTCCCTAGCCTGGGTTTCACAGCCCAGGACACTTTGGAAGAGGCAGAGCACTTCGTGACCATGGATGGAGCTGGCAATAGTAGGACTGGCACAATGGTGGAGTTGATGTCTAGTGCTAAACCCACGGGCAATATTCATTGCTACCTCCAGAAGCTTTGCATGATCGGACCCCTGTGTGGGGAGTCCTGAGAGCCAGGGCTGTGGCTGGAGCTGGATTAAGGTACATATGTGGGTGCCCCTGTTGAAGGAGTTTATGTTGAAATGGGGCACTTTCTTACTCCACCTCTCTTCCTTTTTTTTTTTTTTTTTTTTTTTTTTTTTTTTGAGACAGAATGTTGCTCTGTTGCCCAGGCTGGAGTATAGTGGAGTAATCTTGGCTCACTGTAACCTCCGCCTCCTGGGTTCAAGCGATTCTCCTGCCTCAGCTGCCAGAGTAGCTGGGATTACAGGTGTGCGCCACTACGTCCAACTAATTTTTGTATTTTTAGTAGAGACGGGGTTTCACCATGTTGGCCAGGCTGGTCTCAAACTCCTGAACTCAGGTGATCTGCCCGCCTCGGCCTCCCTAAGTGCTGGGATTACAGGCGTGAGCTACTCCTTTTCTCTTTTTTCCCCTCCAATGTTCCACGTGTTCCCCCTGTGAGATGAATAGCACGCTGGTTTTACTCCTATTCACTGACCTTCTCTGCATGAGGCAGGGTGTGAGGCTCAGTGGGAGATGCATAGATGACCGCCCCATCCTGGAAATAGTGCAGTGAGAGGCCTGCGGGCAGAGCAACCCTTGAGGTGTGTGTGGTACCACCTGGGTATTGGGCCCAGGGCCTGCCCTCACTCACGGAGAAGCATCCCTCACCCGTGTTGATCTTGTTTGAGAGCAGCAAATCCTGCTTTAGTACAGATTTGGGAATTTGAGGCACTAGTCCAAAGGGCTTCTGAGCCTAGAATCTGTTTCCCTTTCCCACTCCCCATCAAGAGATCTGCTTGCTTAGCTAGTTCCCATCATCTCTGGTTCTGGTCCAGGCTTAAGTGGCCTTGGAGTTATGTAAGATGTGGTGGTAAGGGAGGAGTGGAGGACAGCTGAGGTCTCTGGCCTGTGACATGCCAAGGTCAATCAGTTTGAGAACAAGCAGTCTGGGAATTTTTTTTTTTTTTTTTTTTTTGAGATTGTATCTTGCTGTTGCCCATGCTGGAGTGCAGTGGCATGATCTAGGCTTACTGCAACCTCTGCCTCCTGGGTTCAAGCAATTCTCTGCCTCAGCCTCCTGAGTAGCTGGGATTACAGTTGCCCGCCACCATACCAGCTAATTTTTGTATTTTTAGTGGAGATGGGCTTTCACCATGTTGACCAGGCTGGTCTCGAACTCCTGACCTCAGGTGATCCACCCACCTCGGCTTC